TCAAAAATTGATAACGCTGTAGGCAGTGCCTATATAGCCTATATAAATGGAAACATAGCAAAGGAATGGAAGGGCCGTCTGGGAGCACAGAACTCAGTGTTCCAAGCGGAAGTAGTTGCCCTCACAAAGGCAGTGAAATGGGCAATTGACACACGGCAGAGTCGAGCTACGATATTTACTGACAGCCTGTCAAGCATTTATGCTATCAACAACCCTCTCCAGCGCTCCGCACTAATCTCGCACCTGCAAGAAGTCCTCCGTCTACAAGAAAAGTCAATGAGAATCCAAATTTCCTGGGTGAAGGCGCACGCCGGAATCCAGGGAAATGAAGCAGCAGACGCTCTTGCCAAGAAGGCTGCCCAAAATGAGGAAACGGAGCAGATTCAGGTGCCCCTGCCCCGGTCATGCCTAAAGAGGCAAATAGAGGAGTCCGCCATTGGAAACTGGCAGAATGAATGGGGACCAAATCCCGCAAGGCCGCAGAGCATATGAGTTCCTGCCCAAGGTAGAGGTGGACCGGCTCATCTCATCGCCCTACCTCACGCGATATATAACAGGCCACGGCCCCTTTCCGACGTACTTTGCAGAAAGGGGTCTAGCAACAACTGATATGTGTGTTTGTGACAACGTGGGCTCACCAGACCATTATGTCACGGAGTGCCCCTTAACAGCAGAATGGCACATAAAATTCCCAACTACCAATGTTCTGCCTTTCTTTCAAACGCCTTCTCATAAAACATCGAGGCACGCGGCAAAAGCTTAAAAGCATAATGGCCAAACTAGAAAAAATGGGCATAGACCTCTGCAGGCCGGAATAGGGCACCTGCAATAAACATAAAAGCATCTTACAACTGTGAAGTCTCAAGATGGTTGCAGGGCCAGGGTAATACCCGAGTAGTCATAGAAAGCCGTCCGGGTGCCCTGTCCTGCTGTCACCTGTCACCTGTACTCAAAAGCTCCGGGAGTAATTAACAAACATCAAATTCAAATGATAGGGCATCTCAAAGATTTACATTTATTTATTAATCGGTAAACCTATCAATAAATAAAAGGAATATATAAAGTCAAAATCAAAACATTGGGTAATTTACATAATAATAACTGCACAATCTTTGAAGAATAATTTCCTTTATGTACTCAGTTTCTTTTTTCAACATGTTTCCTTTTCATTTTAGAATTTTTGGATTTAATTAAGGATTTGTTATTCTAAAAAACACTAAATGCATTTAGAATGTACAGAAAAATCGGCTATTTTTATTTCTTTAGTAATATGAACATTCAGAAACAATACGAAATATATATAGTAAAGGCCAGTTACAGAGCTGATGTGGCAGAATTTCTAGAATTTAGAGACACACCGAACAACAAATTCTAGAAATGGCAAAACTTTTAGAATTTAGAGCAAGCATTGGAAGCAGAATTTAGAAAGGCAATAGGCAGCAGAACTTAGGTTCCACAGAAATTGCATCAGGTGGGAAAATGCCTAGTGCCAGCTATGTGTATGATGCATTAAGAAATATTAGATGAATCTTTTAAATTGTAAGTTTTCAATTTCTTTATTAATAAAAAAATCCCTTTCTATAATGCCTGCCCATGTGATAAGATCAGAAGCATTTTTGATATTTTCCATGCTTCTGTCTAGTGAAAAGTAGAGAAAATAAAGAGAAGATAAACATGTTAAGTTTCTAGTATCAGAAGGAATACATTCTAATATTATGTTTTCATTGTTCTTCCAGATGTTCTCCCAAAAATTAAGAAATTCATTGCAAACTTTCTGTAAAATACATTACGTGTTGATACCATGGAGAAATTTTTCAGTTTGTCACATATTTCTCAAATCTTCTAGAATTGTGGGTCTATAAATCTTGCCTTCAAATCCTTCTAAGCTTTCCAAGCTGTAATGTCTAAAATCCTAAAGAAACATTATCCCTACCAATTCTGTAACAAAAAAAAAAAAAAAAAAAAAACCAGAAATATTTTGGAAACAAAAAAGGAAGGAAAAATTGTAAAACTAATTTTATAGAGAAAACTCATGCATATTTTGAGAATTTTGAATACTCTGACTGAGACAATTACATGGGAAAAACTCTTACTTTGACAAATATTAAAAAGAAGACATTTTTAATTAATTACATAGCTAATTTTGCTTTTGCTAAGAGCTGCTTTGTAAATTGTGCTTTATAGCATTATATTTTGTTTATTTTTCATATTTAAAATATTGTATAAGTTGCCAAAATGAAACTTCATATGACAGCGAAAAATAAAAAATGTTTTATTTTAATGTTATTTTCTAAATATAATTCAATATATTACCATTATTTTAATGAAATTTATCAATGTTATGATGTTTTAAAAAAAATCATCGAAAAATTTTCCGATTTTGGAAGAGATAAAAGCAGGCCAAGAAGAAATTAAAGTGGGCAAAAAAAAGACTAAAGCAGGTCAAGAGAAAATAAAAAGAGTAATTACTGCCATAATAGAAAACAAATTTGGAACAACAAAAGGCAGAATAGACACAGCTGAAGACAAAGTTGGTGAAATTGAAGAAAGAATTTTTGTCACTGAATAATATATTGAAGAAATAGTTTCTGTTGTCGAATAATGAATTGATTACAGAGTTCCTGTTGCAGTCACCAAAGTAGATGACAGCTTAGAGAAATCCATAATTACAGCAAGAAACACTTTTGACGCTTTTAAATTCCTAGACATGCCTTCTCGTCCCTCTCTAAAGCTATCCACATATGATGGAAAGACCTCCTGGAAAGTACACAAGACTCAAATTTCTATAGTGGCAAATGGATAGGCTTCTCCAGCTAAGCCTGCCACCTTACCACTTCTCTGAGACCAGATGGAGTGGATATTGTCTACACTCTACCCGAAAACCAGAGGTTAAACTTGGTTAGACAAAGCTGTTTCTCGCGTGATGAAGTTGTGCTTTGGCAAGAAGTGTTTAAAAGACAACAGCAGGCTTCTGTTAAAATCTCGCCAACAGAAAATCACAAAAACACTTTAGGACCTTGCTATGGATGTTGACAGGTTGTCTCATTTTGCATGTTTGGACTGCCAACCAGAAAAAAGGAAAAAACCCGTCCCTCTAGTACTTTATTGATGGCATCCGAGATCCTTAAATTCAGAATGTCCCATAGATGGCAGATGTCAAGGATTTAAAAAGCACTTTAGTGTACACCATGAAATTCGAGGCAGCCCAGCAAGCAACCCGTAGAGACCGATCAGAGCTGCTCATGTCCAGCAAACAGTGGATCAAGTAATTGCTTATCTAGACAATTTAATCAGGCAAGTCAGTGCCTTGAGGCAGAATAGGAGAATAAATAACAAACCAACCCTAAAGTGCTGGAACTGTGGAGGTGTAGGCGATGTACAAAGGAACTGCAAAATACTCCAAGGCACAGAAACTTAGCCCGTTCCCAGCAAAGGAGGAGGAAACTAATTAGTGCCCATGTCGCTGAGTGCTAGATATTATAAAGTTCCATTTTAGAGTGTGTCAGATCTCAGCAGTGAGTGGCAGCAGTAACATATTTTTTACCATGGGACATATCAATGGAATTCCGTATAATATGAACAACAATACACAACCCAATATTACCATAAATAAACCATTCAAAAAGATCTGGCTCAGTGAATAAACTCAAATGTACACTGGCCTGTGTTACCCTCCAGAATCTGGTGATAAGATTGACACTGATAGAAAGTTAAATGTTAACATCATGTTTGGAAACGTTGCTGACCATCACATGTCCTATGTGGCAGATTTACACACTCTTGCATACTCAGAATAGATTTTCTAAGGAAATACAATTTTTCCTTGAACTTTAAAAGTATCAAACTGCATTCTGCATCTCAGGGAATAATCCTGTTCAGAATTAAAGTTAAATCCGTCCACCAAATATTAGCTCAAGACAATATAACAGTACTAGCAAGAAAGAAATTTTTACTACCTGGATCCACAAATCAAAACAGAAATTCCCAGTATGGCATAGTGGAATATCCTAAGAACTGTAACAGCCTGAAAGGAGTACCAGTAGCCTGGGCACTTGTCGACTTAGCGAAGACCGTCATCCCAGTGAGAGTTGGCAACATCAGTGATAAATTGAAAATCATTAGGAAAAACTAAGTGGCTTCAACATGTACTTCAGCAGCACAACCTGCATGGCTGTGAAAGGGGCCATACCCTACATTAGATTTATTTTCAGTTCAATAACACAGCGTGGAATTTGGACATCTCTGCACATTGAGATTTATTGATAATCATGCAAATACAATACGACTTTTTAATGGTACATCTCTTTCTCAGTTATAAATGAAAATGTATATCAAACTTCATTAAAATCTATTCATTAGTTTTTCAGAAATTTGACATAATGTACATATTCTCTTAATTAATATGAAACATGATGTACATGTTAAAAGTCAGCTTCTAAGCCAAATCTTTAACAATACATGAATTCAATATTACTAACTCAACTTACATATTCCCCACTAAAATTCAGACAAGATCACTTCAGACATGATATAAGATGAAAATAAATCATACGGTTACTTGTGTAAAAACTGTATTCTCATGAAGTTCATATATAGATTCACCTTGACCCAAACATTGGTCTAACAAATGGAAGCTTCAATAAACAGATGTCAAGCAGTCAATTGCCTTCTGCATTAAGTCGGGATAACCAATTACCAATCCATTGAAGAAGCTTCCATTTTCTTTCAGGCCTAAACCAACTCTTCAAATTCAATTTCAGTGCTTTTACATTGTTTCCAGAAATATATTACAGTTTGTTCAAAAACGTTTTGGACATTTTGTCATACCAGTCTTTGAGAGCCTTACTTCTAACAAATGATCCCTTTTGACAGCATTGATCTCTCAATAAATACTTCAAACCTTAAGAAATGTTTTTCAATCAATTTGGAGTGCAATTAAATCAAACTCATGAATTTGTCTAAATAAAGCATTTGTCTAAAATATGTAATCATCAACTTACAGTGTAAAATCCAAGTAGCAGAAGGTCATCACCATAAAACAGCATCTTACCAATCCATTCTAAATTATAAGGTCCCTATGAAATGGAAAAAGTGTAATTGAGAATTATAAACATTCAACACATTATATTAAATTCTTTTGAAGATGAAAAACAGTATCCATACTTTCAAACAGCGAAGCAGTTTCAAATAACCATTTGAAATACAATATACAAGAACTCGAGCATCTCGACCTGATGAATAGACTAAAGAATTATGCTCTTGAATATCAGTAACTCCATTTTCGCCATGAATACAGCTGAATGTCATTATTGGATTTCCCTATTCGATTACAGGAAAAAAATAATCAATAATTTATAATATAACTAAACTAAATACTACTCTGAATTTATAATTTTAAAACAAATTTTTCAATTTTTATTTAACATCACCTCAAATGCAGTGATTAAAAAACTAAAAGCACTAAAATATACATTACAATCTCCTATAAAAAAAATGGCAAAGCTTACCTATACGAAACATTTGATATGTTAACCATAAATGTATTTACATGTTATCAACAGTGAAAACAGATTCGAGGTTGTTTTTGTAGTAATTTGCTTTACTTAAAACATAACAGCGAAAATTTAGAAATGATTTTCATCAAGACACTGAAATTTTAAGTTTAGTAGATATTTTTTCCCCCATTTTGTTAGCTTTAGATGCAATTACTGAAGAACAAGTTTAAACATTACTGTTATATTATAATTTATTTAACCCTCTGAACAGTGTGGGTCTTTGGATCTGTCATGAAGACCTGTATTAAACTTATATTCATTAAGATGGCATTTATACTATTAAAGAAAGTCAGAAAGCAAAATATTTTAAATTATAATCTAATACATACCAAAACTGCATTCCAAATAAAACTGTTCATGCTGCTCAGAGAGTTAATATTACTTGTAAATTTCATTGGGCCATCCAAAAAGTTCTGCGCTTTTCCAAATCAAAGCATGTTTTCTTCTAATTATTTTGTTCCTGCTGATACGGAGTGATTTTGATCAAAAAAGAAGTTGTTTAAATGTAATCTTTTCTGCTCATGTTGTATAATTTTAAGATGTGTTGTGGTATAATTTTCATTTCAGTACAGTACGAAGATTGGAGAATCCAAAAGTTCATTTTCGTCATATTATACTTTTATTTTTAAAAAAATGGTGGGGGGATGCTAGTCAGATTGCTCTTAAAATCTGTGCCTTATATGGAAAAAATGCTGTTTCTGATGACACAGTTCGAAAGACATTTGGAAGCACTGAAATTTCAGCCTTGAAGATGACACCTGCTCTGGATAATCATCTTTGTCAACAAGAAGGTATTAAATGAAGCTGTTGCTGAAATTGTAAGTTATACAGTTCAAGAACTATCAAACAGAATAAATATTCCAAAGAGTATATGATAATTTGAAGAAGAATGAGTTATGTAAACTGATATGACGTATGAGGATCTCATTTTAATACAGCAGAATGTATTTGCTTGAGTTTTGGCATGTGATTCTTTGCTCCACTTTTTGAGATAGCTCATTGTTGAAGATGAGGAGTGACTACTACACAATAGCTTTACAAGAAACAAATCATGGGATGAGTCAAAGAACATTCTTTAGTAACCTGAAAAGCATGGCTGCATCCTAAAAAATAATACTTTATGTATGGTGGGTCTACAAAGGATGTTGCCACCAAATCAGATAGCAAATTCATAAAAATATTATTTCCAAAAGTTTAAAAGTCCAAAAGTTTTAAAATCAGAAGTATAAGAAAACTAGAAATGGCCAATCTTTGAGGTGTTGCCTTCCATAATAACAATACTTGGCCACACATACCGATGAGTGTCAGACAAAAGCTTACTGAGCATAATTGATTTGAGCAATGTTTTATTTTTTGTTTTATTTTTGCTTCATTGATACAAACATCAGCAATGTTTCATGTCACCCGCCATATTCAACAAAAATTTTGTCCTCTTATTTTTCATATCTTCATGTCTCTTTAAAATTCTCTGAATGGTCTGAAGTTCACTTCTTTGGAGATTGCCAAATAGCAGCTGATAATTGCTTTAAAATAAACTTAACGACTCTTCTAAAAAAGAAATTTTCTAGAGATGTCAAAAAATCACAGAATAAAATGATGCTTAAATGATTCAAAGAAAATTTCTTACATTTTTGTACTGAATAGTTTTTTATATTCATCTTAAATACAAAGTTTCTTATGTTCTGTACATTATTATAAAAAAAAAATTTGCTGAACTTTTTGGATGATCCAATATATATAACAGAAACATTCAAATTAGCAAATATATTTTGATGACATCAGTTAGAGAGTAAAGAGGATGGGACATAACTTACACACAACATTTGATTCCCCCTATTTTCTTTAGAATTTTAATGCATAAATGCAACAACAAAAATTACTATAATTACGTATTCATTTAAAAACCTCTGCAAGTGGTCAAGCAATATAGATATATGTATGTTTAAAAATATTTGTGATGACACATTTAATTATACAGACATGCATCTTAAAATATCGTCTACACAATTAAGTAGTATCAGTACTGAGAAAAAAAGAGAACAAAGGTAAAAAGTAGGAGAGTCATATTACAATTATAATCAAGAAAATGCCATTTACTCATGGCCTTTTGGAGAAGCTTAGAGTTTTGGGACCAAACCTTTAGCTGCTTAGAGGATTAAAAAATATATATAATATATTTTTTTAATCTTTCTTACTTTCTCCTCCCCTCCCAAAAAAAGGAGGTTGTATACATAATATATTAATGTTTTGGTAAGATAATGACACTTTTTTAAGCAACAAACTTTATAATTTAGAAATAAATATTTTAATGAGTAATTAGCCATAAAATATTTTTATATTTCAAATGAGAAATGATTTGAAATTTCAAATGAAACACATATTTTAAATTACTTTACTGACATGAACATTCTTTATTCTATGAAAATAGAAAGGTGCAAAAAAAGAATATGTAATGAAATACATTTCATATTCAAAAACAATTTATCAATAATTTTGTTAAGAAGGATTAAAGTACTAGGACACATAAAAGCAATAGCAAACAAGTTTCAGCAAAATGATTTACCAAATTATTAGAATAACAGCCGACATGTAGGGCATAGATATGTATATTTCCTCCCCTGTCACCAACAATGAAACAGTTGTCAGATTCCAAAAACAAAGCAGCTGTTGACCACCAATGAGGCTTGCATTTAGGAAGATGTAACTTTTGAAGGCATTCTATTGATAATTCATCTCCAAACTGAACTTTCCACAGAATCTTTAAAAACACACAGAGTTTAAAATAATATACAAATAAACAAAATACTTACAAAATTTGTCACTAAAATGCAAGGATATCAACAAATAAAATAAATTTATAATAAATACATAGAATAACAGCATACAGAAAATAAAAATGCAATGTAAATTTTCAAATGGGCAATAATAAAAGAAGAATTTTTAATGCAACTACAGTATTTTTTTGGTTTTGTTTTGTTTTGTTTTGTTTTGTTTGTTTTTGTTTTTGTTTTTGAGTGGAAGGTACATCTATAAAAGGCATAAGCTGATATGACAAAATATAAAATAGTACTTCAAAAACACTTCACAGTATATAAATCACTAAGATACTTTTTCCTTAAAGAGAGAATTGTTTGCCTCTACAGCTAAACTGTATTATTTATTATTTATATTACTTTCCATGTTCATAGAGTGAAATTATTCATAAACTACTCACCAGTGGCCAAGTGTTAAAAGCTGCTGAACATGGTAATTTGGTTCAGGATTTGAGTTCCGGTGAACGGGCTGGATGCATGGGTGTTTCTGTGGTTTTCCCCACATGTAATGTGGATATGAGCCAGTTTCCCTTAAAAAAAATAATTCCACAGGGCATCCCTCTCTTTCTGTGTAGTGTTTAATGGCAGAGCACATAATAAATTTTTAAAAAAATTACTCATTGAAAATACTTTTCTGTAGACTTTCTCTAATAAAAGTAACCAGTACTTTTTAAACACAAATAACATTGGTACAAAGCATCACCTTTCTAAAAAAAGCATTTTCGCAAAGTACCAAAATTGCCTAGAAAAGTGAGGAGTTATCTTAGGGAATTTTCACTACATGTTAATCAGTAAGCCTTAGAGTAGAATAACTTTCCAAATACAGAATATTTCAAAGAAACAGGTGAAATATTAATAACTAATAATAATATGCAATTTCACAGAAACAAGTGAAATATTAATACAAAATATTAATACCTAATAATAATATGTGGTGAAGTATATACTGTCCCTGAAAATTTAACTGGACACTAGTAAAAATGGCATAGTTTTTATGGCAATGATTAAAGAGCCAGTTCAGAGAAATTTCAGGATGAGCATAACCAGCATTTTTCATGCTCCAAGCATGCCATATTAAGACAATTTGGATTATCAGGTTGGAATGGAAAAGTACATACACTGTGAAGTAAACCACAAGAGAAAACACCACACATGAGTAGATATCATCTTTCTGAAAAATGGCCTATGGATGCTGAAAAAGTCCTATGAATGCTGAAAAAAGTTTCAGATTCTGTTTCCCACTCAAATCGAATTTTTATAATGTGTGGCCAAAGAGAAAATTTAGATTGTTCAAATACAACTGTGTTACCAAACTAAAATTATGACATGGCAATCATTTGTCTCACCCCCCCTTTTTTTGTATATTCTTTTTATGAATTCTAGTCTTTGATACGCAATCATATGCTTCAACAGCAAGATTAGTAAACATGTTTCAGTTTTCATCCCTTGCTAAATCACACTTTATTCAACTACTGTTTACATATATATAAACAAACAGCAGCTGAATATAATACAGTATATAATGATTTAGTAGTATGTTAGTTGGCTTTAATGATGCACAGCAAGCTGATTATCCGACATATTAATTATTTCAGTGCCAAATTTAGAAGAATTTTAATATTATTTAAGCATACAGCATGCCAATTTGAAATTTAATATTAGAGAAAATTCAGCATTACATTAAGATCTTAAATGAATAAATAAATAAACAAAAAGAAATGCATCACACCGATAAAAATTTAAACTGACATTTCATCGATTATAATAATAATAATAATAATAAATAACCAAACAAACTGTTCCTTTAAAAAAAGAATTGTCTCTTATTATTAAATATATTTAAGATAAATAATTTCAAAAATATACAAACTAAAAAAAATATGCAATTAAATATCAAATAGGTACAGCATTACCATATACCCTTGAATTCCACACGTCAGAAAATGATCATTTGACTTATCCACCCAATGAATAGAACAAATTTTACTCTCACACACTTTAAATTTTTTTAAATCAATGCCTGCTCCTGCAAAGCAAAATTAATAAACAAATAAATCATTCTTTAACATACAGTCCAATGACTAGATAATAAATAAGAATTTTTGTTAAATAATTACTTTCATATTTTGACAGAAACAAATATCCATGCATATTGCCTAAAGCTATATAGGCACTTTTATAAGATATTGATGAAACACAATATGAAGCATTCGATTTATCATGGAAAATGTCTTTCCAACTCATGGTTTTTAGATTGTACTGTGACAACCATCTGAAATGAGAATATAATAAATAATGCTAAGCAATAAATAAATAAATAAATGTAGACATAGACATATCAAAGAAATTGTACTTACAACCTAGCTTATTAATTTTGAATTATAATATGATACCACATATTTTCACAGCATAATGTACCATTATCTCAATGATGGAAAGCTACCTAACATTAAAAAACAAACCATAAGCAAATATATGTGAATGTGTGCACATTAACATTATGAAAAGCAGAATTATGTAATATTTAATGAAATGACCCTCCCTCATTCATAGCTTATGAAATTTTTTAAATAAAATTAAAATGTGTTTTAAATTAAATACAAAAAGGATTCTGTGAACAAATCCTAAATGACAAAACCATCAATTATTTTTTTAACCTTCAAACACAATAACAAAATTTTAAAATTGCAGCATTAATGAACAATATAAATGTCATTGCTAAAAATAAAGAGAAAAACTAATTGGCCAAAACTAACACATCAGAAAAAAAAACAAAATGAAAATAAGATATGATGAACGATGTTTGGGATAAAGTGCAGTCATTAGAGTCAGCATACTCACTATATTTATAAGCTATATTTTTGGTAATTTAATTTATACAGCAAGTGCTAGAGGCAATGATTATATAGCTTGCATTCTGGCTTTAATGCTTTCATTTAATTAAATTTAATCATTTTGCCACGTTACTTACAAAAACTTGCTATTTAATTTGAATCATTTGAAATGTAGCTTATGATTAATAAATGTGTTATTTTCCTAATAAACCGCACCAAAAAATCTATCATATGTCTCATCACACTGCCAAGAATACATCATTCCACCCAAACGAAATTAAAAAAACAATGTATAAAAGTATTGAATCTTCATTTTTTTCTTACGGTGGCCTCTACATATGGCCTCTAATAACCAGCTCTTTTTCAGTGAACAAATTTGGGCAGGAAGGGTACTCCTATGTATCTTAATAAATTCACAGTAACACATGTAATTACACAGGAAATAAACTGTTACATTACTTTCATTATCATAAGTTGACTGAAACTAATGTAAGACACTTTTTCATCTGAAGTCTCAGAGGCTACATATATCAATCTAATGGTGGTAATAGTCTGCCAAAAGGTTTAATAAAGATGTTTATTATATTTTTCTATGTATCCTTTCAGTTGAATATTAATTAGAAATATATAAATATACATTTCATGTAAAAACATATACTTTTGGATTTAAATTCGAGACATCTTTGCATTATTTTCATTAATTAAAAGTGTTTTACATTTAAGAAAAAAAATTAAAACATAAATACATTTAAATAATTAATGGCATATTTAAATTTTAATGTCTGTATGTGTCTTAATCAATTCACTGTAATACGTGTAACTACACTGAAAATAAACTGTCATAAGTTGACTGGAAGTAATGCAAGATACTTTTTCATTTGAAGTCTCAAAGGCTAAATATGTCAATATAATGGTGATAATAGTCTGCCAAAAGGTTTAGTTAAGATGTTTATTATATTATTCTATGTGTCCTACCAGTTGGATTTGAATTAGAAATTTATAAATATATATTTCATGTAAAATCATATACTTTTGGTTTTAAATTCGAGACATCCTTGCATTATTTTCATTAATTAAAAATGTTTTACATTCAGAAAAAAATTAAAACATACATACATCTAATTTAATAATGGCATATTTAAATTTTAATGTTCCTATGTATCTTAACCAGTACACTGTAATATGTGTAATTACACTGGAAATAAATTGCCACATTACTTTCATTATCATAAATTTGTATAGTCATTAGTATATTTTGAAGCAAGAAGACGTGAAAAATGTGCATTGTCCTTGCTGGGACTCCAACTTGGACCTCTTGAACATGCGCCAAATGAGCTACCATTACAGTACGAAGGCATGATGGAACGAGGGAGAAAATACCTTATATGCTATCCCTTTTAAGGGGCAACTGAGGATTAGAGGACCCAGTTGCCAAAACCTGGTGGTGAAGAATCATCATCCACCACCTTTTTAGTTTGGGCTCCACTATAGAGACATTAGGTTTCTTCGAAGCAGAAATGTGAAAAATGAGCAAAGCCCTCGGCTGTACTCGAACTTGAACCTCTTGAATACGCACACACCGAGTGTAATACCATTAAACAATAAAGGCATGCAGAAAGGAGGGAGAAAATACCTTACATACTCCCCCTTTTAAAGAGCAACTGGGGATTAGAAGACCCAATCACCAAATCCTGGTGGTAAAGAATCATCATCCTCCACCTTTTTTTTAAGTTCAGTAAGTTTTTTTTAAGTTCACCTTTTTTAAAGTTTTTAAGTTCCACTGTAAAGTCATTAAGATATTTTGAAGCAGGAAGACATGAAAATGTGCAATGCCCTTGCCGGGACTTGAACTTGGACCTTTCGAATATGTACCGAGTGTGCTACCATTACATCACAAAGGCATGCTGGGAGGAGGGAGAAAATACTTTATAAGTTGACTGAAAATAACGTAAGACACTTTCTCATTTGAAGTCTCGGAGACTAAATATGTCAGTCTAATGGTGATAATAGTCTGCCAAAAAAGGTTTAATTAAGATGTTTATTAAATTATTCCATGTGTTCTACTAGTTGAATTTGAATTAGAAGTCAGTAAATATATATTTCATGCAAAAACATATACTTTTGGATTTAAATTCGAGACATCCTCCCATTATTTTCATTAATTAAAAGTGTTTGACATTTGAAAAAAAAAAGCCAAATACATATAAATAATTATACATCTAAATTAAAAATGGCTTATTTAAATTTTAATAATTACAAAGTCTTAAAAAGAAATTCACCCTTTGTCTGTAGTGCACATTATATATTCGGTTTCATCATCCACTAAGAGAAAAGTTATTCTTGGGAAATCTAGTTCTGAGGGCTGAAAAACAAATTTTAATAGTTAATCAAAAATATTTTTAACTCAGTAACCAAAAAAAAAAAAAAAAAAAAAAGAAAAAAAAAAAGAAAAGAAAAGAAAAGAAAAGAAAAGAAACAAATAGAAAGAAAAATGGATTTGCAGTTTACTAACATGAATTTTTATATATTATTAAGCAATATAAATTTATGATAAAAAAGGAAACCTAAAATGTTTGACAATTTTACTATGCATTTTTTATCATACATTGTATAAATTAAGCAAATGAAAATATGGTACATATTTATTTTCTGGTTGATGATGAAAGTCAGAGTAGATCTCGCCAAACTTGCACCAATCTCTATGGTGAAGGTTTGAAATAGCAAAAGATCACTCTTCATTTAGTTACATAATCAAAAGATCCAATTCAGGATATCAAATATAAAAAAAGTGGTAATGAGGTAGTTGTGATCTACTGTTTTCAGTTAGCTGGTTATTTTTTAGGTGGCACCACTATGGGAGATGGACAAGCAACTGTAATGTAACGGTCATGCACAATCTAGATAAGTGTGTAGTTGAATATGCAGATAATGATAAATGCAGATGTGTGAAAATGTAATAATTATATCATTTTTAATTCATGCGAATAAGTCATAGCTTAGTAATAACTCAGAAAGTATTAGTAATGTTTTTCCTATATTTTGTTGGTGTCAGAACTGTAAAAGTTCCTGCCCCATATATCAGTGCTTCAATTCAGATGTACTTAGTATAGGTTCACAAAGTTTGGATGATTTTTTACTCAACAATATCTACTAAGAGCACCAAAGTATTATCTAAAATTTCAAAAATTATTAGAAGATCAGATTAGATTATTAGAAGAAAACTATTAGAAGATCCTCATTCCATACTACTTTCATTTATCTGTATTATTTTTATATTTTCATTTATTGTTTAATAGTACTAGTATTTTTAATTTTAGTATACAAGGTCTGTCCCAAAAGAACTGCACCCCATTTTCTTCTGCTGCAACTTTTCGTTGCACAGCATTGTCTCTTGCACAGAAGGGTGGGTGAAATCGTGGGAATACAGCGCGACCAGCAACAATTGGCTCCAAGCTTCTGGAGAGTCACAGTGCCTGTTTTAATGAACCCTTGTGTGAGTGCTTGGTCAAAATCAAGGTGGAAAAAACTCTTGAGCAGTGATACGCGAAAAGTTTTGTTTCAAACTTGAGAAAACGCCATCGGAGATTAAAAGAGAGATCTGATCGTCGGAGATTAAAAAATCCTTCAAAAGACAGCATTTGAGGACTCTGGAGGTTGACGAGGCTACTAAAGGACATCCCTAAGACGGACTTCCAGGATGCATATAAAGCATGGAAATAATGTTGGAACAAGTGTGCTAAAGCAGGAGGGATGTATTTCGAAGAATATTGAGTAACTGTATGAATCGGTTCGATAAATTTCTTAAAAAAAGGGGGGCGCATTACGGGACAGACCTTGTATTTTATATTTTAAATTTCACTGTTTGCTCTTGTCATCTGAAGGCAGATGACGATGCAGGAAATGGCCATGCAACTGTAACTGCATGAGATGACTGTCATGTGCCATCTAGATAAGTCAGTAGACATTGACAAATGCAGACGCACGCGTGATAATGTAACAATTTTTCTTCCCTTTTTATCATTTTTTATTCATGTAAATAAATCATAGTTTAGTAATAACATAGTAATATAAATGATGTTTTTTCTATATTTTGTTGGTTCCTATACAACTAAAATTGGTTGTTGTTTTAAGCATTTCTTATCATTTTATTGCATGTTTTAATATGAAAGCTACTAATTTTTTTTTACTTTATAAAGCTATTAAAATTTAATGAAATTAAAAATTTAATGCTTAATAAATTAATTAATGGAATCATTTCCATTTACATATTCTTAATTATTTGTATTTATTTTTACGTTTTGTAATATATATGGTTCGGCGAATCATAGAAAAGGCTCAATTAATTGTCCCTCCTGCTTTCGTTTTGAAAAACTGGAAGGAATTTGCATTTAATAAGTTACTAAATTAATTAATGAAATCATTTTCAATAATGTATTGTTAATTATTTCAATTTATTTACATATTTAAAAAAGTTTTAGAGGTGCCAGCTAAGAAATGACTGACTAACTACAGATCACATACTGCATCATTACCCAAAAAAAATTAAGAATTCAATCTTTAGATACCCCCCCCAAAAAAAAAATTTAAAAATTAAAAGAAATTTTTAAAAAATAAAGAATTCAATCTTTGGAATTATTCAAACAAATTCATTAAAACTTGCTTTAGTCATTCCAAAGGGCAAAATCTCTAACAGGTACAAGTACAAGTGAGCAGGCTACAAGAATTTCATCATTGGTTATATAATCTCACTGCACTAACTTTTGATGGAGAGCACTAAGAAACAGTCCAAGTGTTATGCTCCTCTTCCCCTACTACCAAACCATCTGACAGTACTTTCCACTCATCTGCATTTTGAATGTGCAATGCTAGACAGGTACTGTATATTTATGAACATTCATGCCTTCTTCAGGATTCGAGTCCAGCTCTATTGGTGTGGCAATCAGCATCACTAACCACTATGCTGATCAGGGCAGCTCAAAATACAGTCAGCTTCTTTGCGAACTCACAACTCTTGATATCAAGAGAAGTCTGCAGAATGAAGATTTTATTGTGCTATTTTGCTGAACACCAGAGTTTTTCAATGTTTCCAATGTACAAACTATATATGGTATATATAGTCTATATATAGTCTAACCAGTTTTATAACTTTATAAATATTCTACTGCTTGCTGTTCTGTAAAAGGCAGATCCCAAATTTTATAATTCTTTTCAAAATGCATGAGGGAAGAAAAAAAAAAAAAAAAGAAATGGCAGTTAACTTATATCCTTTTCCATAAAAATTAAACTGATTTATTAATGATAGGTGTTATGTGAAATCACAGTGAAGATCCAAAATGAAAGCATGTTGCGATGTCACAATTATCCATTATTGGTACTAAATCGTACTGTTTGGTAACAGTTATTGTTTGTCTTAAATGACTGACAGGAAAATATGTAAATATTGAATAAACTTACTCTTGTATGAAGAGATGTTTGTGAAATTAAAGCTGTAGAAATACTTCCTATAGAGTGCAAATACACTCCACCATCACTTCCTCCAGTAAACTATCACAAAAATTATAACCATTTTTATTAGTAGGAAAAAAATGCACATAAGTTTCACATATTACTGAGATACAGTACATAATTTTATAAATTGGGTAAAAATTTTTAAATCTACCATATTCCTATTTTATGATAATAAACTGCAAAAAGGGAATAAAAATTTGCATTCTAATTGTTATTAATTGCAGTCTATACCAAGAATTCAAAATTTTATGAGCGGAGGAATCATATTATTTTATGAAAAATTTTGTAAGCATTTTTAAAATATTATGATGCTGTTTATGTTAATATTTTAGAAACATTTTTAATAAACAGATCATTAAAAAATCAGTGGAATATGAATTTAAATGAATTGCAGTGATGTAAATTAAATAACAAAGGTAAATATAGATTTTATTTAATTTGAGTTGCTTTACAATAACATTGACAAAATTTATTACTGCAAAAAGACAGAAAGTCTAGCTTTATTTCGTACACAGTCAGAGCCAGAAAAATGCCAACTGAACCTAATTGGGACATGTGCTTAAAAGAGCTCTGCATTTGCAGAACTTTATGTATTAAACTTTTGTTGTGTGTTAAAATTCAAAATTGAGTAAGATATATTTTTTCTCAGATGAGCAGAGATGGATGGATATTATTTCACCCTTATAAGGAATACATTACATTCTGATTATTCTGCTACCCACAATCTGTAGTAAAAACTAAATACTATTTACTTTTGAGTCCCACGTGTACTTGAACAACACTGAAATTAGTAAGCACTGTTGGAAACAGTGAGTAATAAATGAATTAAATAGTCATGGAAAAGTGTAAGTAAGTTATTAATTAAGGATTATTAAAACATGCACTGTGTTTAATTGATATTTTTTCCCTAACAATCATATAAATAGATGTGGTTAGGCAATCCTTCTATTCTGTAGCTTTGTTAGCTCATATATTGCCCGTCCATCACAAGTTTCATTGGTGTGCTTTTATTTCATCGATGTTTGTATACACAGGTTGCTCATTTCTCAGGTATGTTTCAGCGCAGAACAGTTTGGTTTAAACTGGAAGTAGACTACAACTGTGCCTATGAGAGAACTGTTATTGCAGTTACGTCAGCAACAATTATTGGAAAAAGGTAAGCACTGCTTGGATTGCACATTTCAATTATTATTATTATTATTATTTTAATTTTAAGTGCAGTTTGAGGAAAAAGTAATCAATAGAAAATATATTAACAGTAGAAGCCCATAAATCCGCAAAGCTTGGGACCCAAGGTTGTACGGATTTTAGGACAGAAAAGATAAATCATAATATTCAGACTAAAAGTGCAAAATAAATAAGCCATATTAGATACATTTAATTAAATTATTATATACATTATTGCAATAACTTATTATATGCATTAAATTATTATTACATATATAAATTGATTACATATTATTCATTGTATTATATGCACACAGCATTGAGGTTTGTCGATTTCGCCTCATGCAAAGATTTCCGGTTTCGGAATCCGGTGTTAGAATCACTGTTGCTGTAAAATTTCAACAGCTTTTCTTAATTTTTCCATATATCATACACAATCGTGTCTTATTTCCATATGATCCTGCTATAAACCGAGGAGTAGCACCTGCCTCCCTCTTTTGCAGAATTTGCCCTTTTTGCATTACCACCAATGCAACGTGTTTACGTTTTTCAACATTGCAAGTAGTAAAATCATCAGTGCATTTCTTATCTGTCATTGTATTAAAAAGGGCTGAAATTTAAAATATTCTTAATTCTTCTTAATATCCACAAAATATCCGGATTAAAAAAAAGGGCAGCACTAAATAATCTCATAAAATAACAAAGTTCAGAAAATACAACAACGTGAATCGTGAACTTGAAAGAAGAGCGAATCATCTGCTTTTTTACTGCGGTGCAGATTACAGGGGGAAAAACTTTTATCATGATGTCAATAATTTGGTATTTCTGTTATGACTAATTATTATTCTGAAATTATGACGTCATCATTCGGTAAGTATTTTTTCTTCAATATTTCATACTCAATGTTGTGGTTTCTGAAACCTATAAAGTGAATGTTTATATTTTGATAGGCAATGTAGATTTCAGGAGTTGGCGGATTTTCGGTATTTGACTTTATACATATATATATAAAGCAAATTATGCGATATAAGTAAATAGAACTTCTAGTTTTGTAAAGAAATTCAAAAAAGGGGGGACATTTTTCCCCTTATATATGTGCTATCACAACAAGAAAAAGAGATACTTCTTTTAATTGTGATAACACATTTTAAACAGAACATTATTATGAAAGTATAATTTTGTTTTTGTTTTTACACTCTAATTTTATTGCATCACTTACTGCTTACACTGAAAAACAGGTGGTGAAATTTTCCATGATAATTCTAAAATTGAAAGCAAATTGTGAATCTAGTTTATAGAAAATGTGATATTCTCTGAATGATAATAAATAAATTTTACAAATAAAACAAAGAGTTATTTCATTTAGAATTTTTTTTATAATCGTTTATCATTTACTTATTTCTGTGTTATATTGTTATACATGATTTGATTATCTGTAATTGCAAGGCTTCATTTGTTTAATGACTGAGATAAAATTAAAAATTTTAAACTTCACTGAAATTCTTTCTAATGCATTTAAATGAACATACTAATTTTCTCCTCAAGTTAATTTAGATGCCTAATGCAAAACAAAAAAGGGATACAGGTATAAAATATGCAAGTGGTAATACTAAAAGAAAATCAAATTTAATGAAAGAAAATGCAGATGAGAGATTAACAGTTCTTTTTTTAAAATATTTAAAAGCAAATACAAGAGACAATGAATCTGTTGGCATAGCCACAAAAGAAGTTCAAAATGTTGAGAACCACAAGGATAATGATCAGTTGCAAAAAGTCAAAGAATTTAGTACAGCAAGTCACCACTCAAATAATGAATCAATAGAACTTTTCTTATCAGAAAATATTGAGGCTAAAGATTATCACAAAGATGACAAACAATCTAAAAAAACTAAGATTAGCATAGTAAGTTAAGTACACTACACAAATGAAGAACCGAAACATCAAATGAGCTTAACAGATGATCTATCCCCCAAAAGATGCAGGTGCTCAATTTCCCCACAGAAACAGATTTCAGAAGAATGACATATTATGAATGTAAAAAATATCACAACACAATCTGTCTGACTCATGCAAATATGGTTTACAGAATGTGCTGTGCTATATGCCAATGCCCCTCTTCTGGTCAACTTCAGCTGGTTGACACTGAGTGAATCTCATCTTATGACACCTGCGCTACAAAGATAAACTTTTTTTTAACAATCTATTAAATTTATTTAATTTGTAAGCTTGATAATCTTTCCTGTAAGAGTTTTCTGAAAAATAATTTGTTCATATTTCCAATGAATTACATTTTTATCATCTTAAATAGGCCTACAAAGATAAGTGACTATGTTTTTAATAATTACTGAATATTAATAAGATTAATTACAATTTTTTTTACATATGCCTATAAGAAGCATCGCACCCAAACTCAGGAGTGCAAATATTGAGCTTGACAGAGGGTTAAAAAAGGACCAAGAAAAATTCTTCTAGATAATTTCCCCCTCAAACACAACACACTTTTCAAAAGTTCATTTGAAACAAAAATTTCCAAAAGTGAAATCGTAACTTTATTCTGGGTTATTTATTCTGGAAAAAAAAAAAAAAAAAGGATAAAATATATTGCTTCTACTGTTGTCTTCTTAGTGAGGGAATTAACTGCTTTAGCTTTTACCAAATTTAATAACTGGCTGAATATTCACACTAGATTTGCAAATCATTAAATAAAAATCAAAGCATCATTTACTATTAGTGTCAAAATGTACAGAATTGTGAAAAAGACCTAGCTGAAATTATTATTGGTTAAGTCGAGCAGAAATTATACAAATGAGAAAAAAATGCATTTAAGACAAGTTTTTAAGAGACTATTTTCTATAATAAAACTTTTAGCTGGATGTAATTTAGCATTTCAAGAATGTGGGTAAAAATTGAGTGATTCATACAATGGAAATTTTCTAGGAATCATTGAATTACTTGGAAAATATGATTAAGAACATCTCCAGTGAATTGTTAATACAGGACTAAAAGGAACTTAGCAGAAAATTCAGAATCAAATTATTAATTTAATAGAAAATAAAATTTAAAACAAAATTATAGATTGAACAAAATTTGTAAAATATTTTATTGTCATTCTTGACTGTACTCCAGATAGAATTCATTAAAGAACAAATATCATTTACTGCCAGATATGTCTCAGACGGTACATTACCAAGCTTAATTGTCAGTGTTAATGAGCAACTCATTCAAGTTATTTATGCTGATGACAGTTTTGGGCAAAGCATATATCATGCTTTGAAATCAGAAAATAAATCTTTAGGACAGGATATCAAAGTTATAAGAGGACCAGGGTATAACAATAGGTCCAGTATGAAGAGGAAGGATTCTGGAGTTTAGACAAGACACTTAAATTTTCTACACCATATGCATGCCACAACTATAATTTAGTTTTAGGAGATTTAGTCTTGATGCCATAACTTTTCTTGGCAGACTTCAATGCATTTATATTATATTTTTAACATCTACAAAGAAATTAGCAGTATTTTCTAAATATGTGCAACATCTTACTGTCATGCCTCTTTGCGATACAAGCTGGTAATGTTGTATTTAAAGTGTTAAAGCAGTAAGGTACTAGCTGCATGAATTCTATGATATGCTTCTTTTCTTAAGATATCAGAAAACTCTATGAATCCATAAATTAAAAGTGAATTACAATCATTTGTAAACTCAACTGGATTATAAATTCATAATTTCTTTAATATTTCTTACATGATTTACTTGACTGTATGAATACTGTAAGGAAAAAACTTCAATGTTCTACAACAAACTTTTTCATGGTTCTTTCATCTTTAGAAAATCTTTTATGTCAGATCGTGAAATACAGAAATCCTGGACTCAAAAATGTTTGCAGAAAAACTTGCAGAAATTTTGGAAACCATTCAAGTATTTCAAAGTAAAAGACTCTATATTAAGTCTACATAAAATACTATTAAATACTGGTAATCTTGTAATAAAAATAAATGGTTGAAATTTCTTTCTTTTTAACTGGATGCCCAGCAAAAGGGATCCAATCGGACTAGGTACACAGTTTAATGCCATGTATTACTTACAGCAATGTAATTTCCCAAACCTCCATCATTCTCTTGAACGTTATTAACAGAAATTGCAGTAGTTTCGAGGCACCAAATACTTCCACCCTAAATGAGAATACTTAAGATAAATAACAGGTAAAATGAACAAAAAAAAATTATTATATATATGGAGAGGGAAAAAATACACATGTAAAATTTTAACTGCTTGTTTCTCCAATTTTTTCTCAAGCATTAGAAAAGAGACACAACTGACAAAAATATTATAGTCACAAAAGATTAACTGTTTTTTCTATGAAATGGTCTTTAATAACTATGTATAGTTGAGCCTTATATCTGCTGAATCAGTACTTGCAGTTCGAAAATTCGAAAAATTATCTTCAAATTATATGAAAATAAAAAGAAAAGGAAATTTGAAAGGTTTCAGACTTTAAATTACATCCAAAGGGGCATTTTCTTTTAACATTTTGTCTGTTATCTTTATTTATTAAGTATCACGTTCTTCGCACTTAAACCATAAAATTCAGTTCAAGAGCAGTATCGCAAATAGTTTTAAATTGAGCCTATCTTTAGAATTTCCGATGCACAATCTCATGCACTGGAGATGAAAATGTTTTTTCTGTACAACGCTGCCATTGCTCGCTTTGAAATCCTTGAGTTTGTTAATCAAAAATTCGTTAAAGATTTACAAAATATGAAAGTGATAATAAAACAAATTCCAAGCTTCTAATTTGGTCTTTCACATGCCCATATTCATAGGAGGATTATGTAATTCAAAATTTGATGGTTCTCTGTATCGTTGTTTCATCACAATGCGAGAAATATACATACATTTATGCAGATTTTTCATTATTTAATTTCTCCAAACATAATGCAGGACTCTAATATTTGGTGGCAACAGTTTGAAAAGTGAAACGGACATTTACAGTGATTCAACACAAAACGAAAACAATTGTCCTTAGGCACAAAGCCCCTTTGGTCTAATAAATGGTTTGTATATTATAAAATATATGGCAAGTAAGAATGAGGCATAATATGGCGAAATGCATAACACAAAGTTGAATCAAAAGCTGATGTACTCTCTTCCTATGACATCTCCACCATGAATATACATCACCCGTAATTTAGACCACTACTGATGCAATGCTTAGAGATCTTTGCTAATCCAGATCAGTATGTAGTATTACACCTTGGAAACTTGAATGCATTTTATTATATATTAATACCATCAAAATGAAATGGTATTTAAAATTCAAATTCAACTTAAACAGTTGGTTTTGCAGTATTTCAAGTCTCTTTTTTTTGGGGGGGGGAGGGGATCTAATTTGCTTTTCAGTTACTCTCGTAATAAAAACTGCTTTCCTTTTTTATGTTTAGTTAGTATTTATTATGCAATTTAAGACCTTGTTAGGATGTTTCATTCACACAAGCAAATTCCTTACATTTACTGCAAAACTGCTATCTGCTATTCTTCTACTAATATGGTTCATAAACTAAAAATGACACATTGATCTTCATTTTGTGGAAGAATTCTCCCATTCCTGAAGTAGCAATGTGATCTACCCTAGGCTGTAGTTTTATCTCTGACAAGGACCCACCAAGTGGCCCGCATTAAAGTCGCTGAACGCTAGTAGTTTGGTCCAGGGTTTAAAGTTCCGACGAATGGGCTAGCTGCACGGTTGTTTTTGTGGGTCTCCCCAGATGCAACATGAGTAAGTTTCCCTTAGAAAGTCCTCCACAAAGGCACCCATCCTCTTAGGCAGATAGGCCTCGAGTGCTTTGCTATAATCAAATAAACCAAACCAATTATCTCTGACAAGATCTAGGTTGCCTTGTATCATTTATATTCTTTTATTCAACAGCAGCAATGTTATTGATAATCTTTTTTTTTATCATAATCTGATAATATATCAGTGAAAATAGCCAGACCAGTTTAGTCTGTGAGAGGTACCACAAATGAATACCAGTTTTCTTGAGAGGCTTTTGCTTTTGCCAACATTATTGTACTTTCTCATTTTCAGTAATTTGAGGTCATTTGCATGGAGTTCAGTTGGAAAAGGTGCTGAATTCATACATAGGTTCAAGCAAAAGCATTAAACTATTTGACAGAAGTTTGTTCTCAAGTGAGTTTGAAAGCATTTTGTTGCAGCCATCTATCTTGGGTGATGCACTGGGCCCAGAACTCTACATTGCATTTCTGAAGGAGAATTACTTAAAATTGCCACTGTTATTTTGATAAACTCGACAACCATCTTAAGATTGTGATTTTTAGTTATCTATTTCTGATGACTATTTCAGAGCATTTTGTGTTGAGTAATCAATCAATGAATGAATCAGTTCTGAGATATTGATTTCTATGTTGTGCAAAGTAGACTAGAAGAGAAACACGCTAATGTGACAATCAAAATCGTAAAAAAACCTTGCATTTAGCGTGCTCTTCCCAAAGTCCACAAAATCGGTATACCTTTTCGACCAATTGTTTCCAACATAGGTACTGCTTCATACCCTTTGGCCAAATATTTAGTTTCCCAGATTTTTTCTCCTCTTACTTGCTAACAAATATTCCACACTGTAAAAAATTCTGTTGAAGTCATTGATAAACTTAAAAATATTTCTCCACTTCGTTTCCATTATGGTTTTTCATTTGATGTCAAATCCACACTGTTTACTAATGTTTTCCGGTCGAAGGAGCACTAAGTTGTCTTGAAACTAGGCTTCGGGAAATTTTCACTTCACACATACTGAAATTAATGAGTTGGTTTCACTTACTAAAGTTCTCTGAGTCAAACCCACTTTGTTTTCCAAAATGCATATTTTTCGTCAAGTTGAAGGATTGGCTATGGGTAATCCTCTCAGTCCGGTACTTGCTGACATTTACATGCACTATTTTGAGATGAAAATTATTTGATAAATTATCTTTTCGTCTTGGATTCGGTATATGTTGACGACGCTTTCGCACTTTTGACGGTTATAAAGAGGATTATCCGAGATTCTATCTATTATGAATTCAATGATCCAGCCATCCAATTCACTCTTGAAATTGAATCCAAAACAATTCCCTCCCCTTCCTTGATATTCTTATAATCCGCAATGAAACTGATTTTAGCACCACTGTGTACCGTAAACCCTTTGCAGTTTGTTTACCACCCTATGCCAAGTCATGCCTGCCTGTTAAAGCAAAAAAAATGGCCTTTTTTACTTTATGTATTCCCACGCTTAAAGTTGTTCCTCTGAATTTTGCTTACCAATGAACTTAGCAGTTGCAATTGACGTGGATTTTTCTCCCGTGATTATTGATAAAGCCATTAAAAAATTTTCAGATTCCCATCAAATATGAACATTTCCATGTTAGAAATAATAAATTAATGACCTTGTCGTGCCTTCCATTTTAATCCTTCTGTTAGCTATAAAATTGCACGGATTCTCCAGAAATTTCAATTTTCAAGTTTTTTTCTCCCCCTATTAATAAAAATTCACCCTTCAATTCTAAAAGATTGCGTTTCTGTCTTGAATTCTTTGGGGAATTTTATAGTATATTTATGTCAGTGTGGTTTAAGATATGTTGGCCAAACAAAAAGAGCATTGAAGTTTCGTATCAAGGAACATGAATCTTATGTCAGAAAAAGCGAAATTAACAAGTCTTCAATAGCGTATCATAGTTGGACATTTAACCATAATTTGACTTTGGAGTCTGCAAAAAATTATCAAAAAAGGCTTCCCATAGGTGAATTGGATTTTCTTGAGGTTTGTACATTCAAAAGATTTAGCAGGTTTAGTAAATGATTTGAAAGTCAAATCCAGTCCTTCCTAATGCCTTTAAAATTTCTACTATCTTAATTCAGTTATTTTTGCCATAGATGGCGTTTTTACCTCCTCGCGTTTTGGTACTACCAGAGGGTATAAAAATATGTTCAGTGGTTGCTTTCCATTATTTGAAGTTCAGATTTTGAGCGTGAAGGTGCATTTGCCCCTCGCTCCCTATATTAACTTCGCTAATTTTTTTTTGTCCTTTATGCTTGATCAGATAGCCTGGCTCAGTAAAAGTAGGCGGCCAGTGCAACTCTGATTAAAAATCCAGTTATAACCACGTGCAGTGCTGATAAGGACCACGTGTTTCTGAGACTCCTACTCCTTTATTTTCTTCTTTCTTTCTAGGTATTTCTTTCTCCTGATGAGGAGGGACCTTTAGCTGCCCTTGAAATCGATTGAGTGTTTCATTATCCTTACGCTAAATACAAGGTTGTCTTTACGATTTTGATTGCGCAAAGTAGTTTTGAATCAAGATAGAAGAGATACAAGATAAAGTAAAACATAAAATCAGGCAAAACAACAACTAGTGTTTGGAGTAGATTTTAGTCAAAACTATCAATTTTCAGGGCAAACAGATACAAACCCTACCACTTTGCTTAATTTTATGCAGTCTTTAACCATCTAAAGAAATCTGGATTTAACGAACTAGATGGAATTAGACAAAAAGACCGTAATCAGAATCAGCTCTTTCACATTATGCCAACAAACTACCCATAATAACTCACACCTAAGTTTCTCACCCTCAAATGTTCATGCCAATGTTTGATTTTATTGAATATCATGTGAACCCTCAAATGTTCATGCCAATGCTTTTGTTCATGCCAATGAGTCAAAATCTATTTCTGGAACACAATCTGCTATATCCTTTTTTTTCCTAAAGAATTATCTATAGCTTCAGCCATGTTTAAGAGATAACACTAAATTGGTAGTGTATTACACTGACGAGATTCCAACTGAAACCCATTATATTATATAATTTTTAGAGTTCCAAAATTTCTACTGACTGACATATTTACATCAAATAAATTGCAATTTTGATACATTAGTGTTGCTAATTAAATAATTCTAATATATTTACAAATAGAAACAAATGTATTATTCACAAAATTTAAAATAATATTTACTGATAATTTTAATTAAATTATTATTTGGATTATGGATAACCATATTCCACTTGGAAATAAAATCTGAAAACTGAATACAGACATATTAAAGATTAATCTAAAAATATGTAGCAAAGCCGAGAAAAAGTTATAAAGTTAATTTTTAGGGGAGCACCCTAAATGGCAAGAATGATTAAGCAGCAGTCAGATGCTATCTGATTATGGTTGCATTCTGCCAAACATTTCAACTATTAGCAAGAAGAATACATTTTTGAGGTATAATGTAGAAAGAGATAGGATGTTAGGACAAATTTCTTGCAGTTTTATGGAATTTTTTATTTTCTCCTAAAACTAAAACCAGTCTATAAACAATATGCACCATGTTTTGTATTTTATTAAATTAACAATTTCCAAATTTTTCAATTTATAATCATCCCTAAGCCATTATTAGGATGCCTGTAATCTACACAAAAAATCTGCAAAAATATTTCAGCATTTAAGTCAAGATTGGTAATTTTGGTCTTCATGAATTAAAACATAGAAAATAATTTAAGTTTTCAGTTCAGCAGTAATTTTGGTCTTCATGAATTAAAACATAGAAAATAATAAGTTTTCAGTTCAGTAATGAATATGATTTTCACCAACAACATTAACAGCAATGAAAACATTATCACACCAGCAACAATAAAAACATTAACAAAAGGTTTGTGAGTATTTAATTACATGATAACAAATAAACAAAAACTAAAGAATACAACAATTTAGCTCAGAATATTATAATTTATATCACTGAAGACAATCAAATCATACAACATTGCAAGATGAAGACAAAATGACAATGACAGAAGAATATCAAAGAAGTAAAATATGTGTTATATATTAAAAAAGCATCCAGAAAGACAACTGTATACATTTAACAGTCTCTGAAACTAAATAATCGCTTTTGTGAATATATACTCATGACAGATAATTTGGCAATAGTTACACTAAGGAATTTTTAGTTGCAAAAAAGTTAAATGATTAATGGGCACTAAATGTAAATCATAGTCAGATTTTTAGATTCAAGTACATATCCTTAAATTTAACATAATTCCTTGTTTTTTAACCAATAAAGTATTCTCTGAATTATAAGATTTTGAGTTCAAAAAGGTAGGAAAACTTTGACTATAAACTGCCTGGCTGTAGTCATAGATTTTACTGCAATGTTATTTTGCAATTACTTTTTTAAAGGTTGGACAAACTACAAATGTATAGTTTAGTGCAAAAAATACTACATATTAATATTTGGAAAAAAGGAAAAATTATAGAGATTTTTTACTGAATTAGAATAATGTAGCACTTCTTTATGGCGGTCTCCAAAACTAAATAGCCAGTCAACCGAGATATCTCATCAAAATCTGGCTGAGTGTTCTTACAGCTCACCACGTGATTATATATTAGTACCGGTTGCATATTCTTATACTTCAGCACATACTCATACATTAGTAATGTGTTGCATTTTCGCTCTCGTGTTAATAGTTATTTTTGATGAGGTTTTCAAATTCGCATAGTTTATTTTAAAAATATATTCACTGCTTTTGTGTGTGTGTGTGTGAATATGATATTAACAGTCTTTAACTTACCAAGTGGAAGCCAGATAATTTTTGCAAGGAAGAGGTCTTTTACCTAATAAAATGGCCACAACACGAAACTTTAGTGAGGAAACCGTTTGGAAGTGCAGTTTTAAAAACTGCAAAAAGAAGAAAAACCTCTGTGTTAGAAATTGGTTCAGTGGTTCCAGAATATTGTTCATCACTGCTATTAGATTTATGCATTCTTAGGCAGAGGAGTTGATGTCCATGAAATGGTGTAACCAACAGCTTAATATGTGTGAAAGTGTTGCAGTTAACTGGAACATTTACATGTGTTAAAATAATAAGGATTCTTAAAAATATTCTTAGGAAACAGCATGCGAGTAGTATTGCTATTATTATATAATAATAGCACTTCATGAACTTGGCGAAATCATAGTTGAGATCTTGGCGTAAATTTAAAATTGCCAAGCGTGGTTGGGAGAAGCTATAACAAGCAGGTACCTTATGTTTCCCTTTATTAGATTTTGCTTAGAATAATTCAATGAAATTTTGGTACTCTTTTGCTACTGGGGCCAGATTTAGAAATGCAGGTATGCATGGATGATATTAAATTAAAAAGTTCTTTCCTTTGTGAGATTTTTCTTAGATTAAATTCAATGAAATTTTAAAATTTACCACTTACTTTATGACATCTTTTCTTTTTTATAAGTTTGCCATTCAAACTCCAGAAACATATACATGAATCCTAAAATAAAATAGTTAAAACTGAATGGTAATGTTTGAGTAACAGAATACAATGGTAACAGCCTATTTATTGAGATTAAGTACAGCTTCAAAAACCTTATTTAATAACTACTAGAGTACTCATAATTCAAAGACTAAAATTTGAATTTTGTATTATCAATTAGAAATAGAAGCAACAATAAAAACATAAATGATAAAAATAAGAACTTAAATGGTAATTTTACAAATATAAAAAAGACATAATGTGATATTTCTTTTATATTACATTAATTATAGATAGCAAGCATGCATTCCACAGGAAAACTGCTGTAAAGTTAAGTCCGACTATATTTAAGATTTTAAAGATAAAATAATGCATATTTAAAATTTTTTACTTTATTTATTTAAATATATATAAATAGATAAAACATGTAAATATGAAAAAGTTGTGCTTTTTAAGATACATATAATTTCCTATTTCAAAGGAAAAAATTAATTGCTTTTAAAATTAATTTGTCCTAAGACTCAACATAAAACTTTATATAGCTTCACAATATTTGATTATTATGAATTCTATTTTATTTAAATGGTTTACAATGAATTTTATGTCTACAACTCTTAGCGTATGTAGATGTAAAGTACACAAGAGAAATGTAAAAACCAGAAGGTTTCTCTTCTTTAAAATATGCAATTAATTTATACATTTGTTTATCCTGGTTAAAAATTCTGATGTAAAATTCAAATATTCCCAAAATTTTTACAGTTTATTAAAACTTTATTCTAAGAAACCCAGTTTATCAGAGAATGATACATATTTTAAGAAACCTACATAATACACAAAATCTTTTATAATACGAATAAAATTAATAGATCTAATAATTAATTTTATATATTTTTCATATCAATGACCAATAAATAATATGCACTGCTCTACCTCTCCAACACTTAAAATGCAGTTTCTTAAAATAGCAGATGTCCATACTCTAGATTCATGTGAAAAAAGAATTTGAACAATAAAAATGTTCGACTTCTTCCAAAATTCCAGAGAAAAGTCTTTAACAGATGAATCACACTGAACTTTCCATATTCTAAGACTGCGATCATCAGAAGTTGAACAAATTAATTTATGAATTTCACTAAAGGTGACAGAAAATATAACACCCTGCAAAGAGAAGGGGAAAAAAAAAAACTTTGAGTAATACTGGAACAAACTTTTACTTATAACAATATAGTAATTATTTTTATCAGGATATTAGACTAGTTAGAAGAATATTCTATCATAACTGCCTTGCCTTAGAACCGAAACAGAATACATTTCTTAAAGTTAATCACATAGCTTAAATCAAATCAGAGTAATAAAATTTCCTAAGTCTGTAAAAAATTAACAGAATAATTTAGAATTTTTAGTGGATATAAAGACTTTCCTTTTGGGATCTGAAGCAATGGTGACAATAATGCTGCCATTATTAGAACACTTTCTGAAAGTAATCTTTGTTAGCCAAATTCAATATTACCTTTATCTCTCCTCAGATATCTTTAAATATGTCAAATTTATGTCCTTCTTCACTTCAAAGTAGATGAAAAAATCACGGAACAGATACAAATGTCAAGCATGTAATTTGGGAGTAGAAATCATTGTACTTTGACTACTTTTTTATGTGCTTTGTAAATTTTTATACAGACTGCCATATTGTTATGGTAATACCTTCCCTTCTGTGTTCTTCAGCTCTATATTTTAATATTCATTAGTCATAACAGTTACTTTAGCTTGGCAGTACAGTAGTTTGTATTGATTGCAACAATTTCCTACAGAAGAATTCCGTTTGTGATAACAAGCAGAATCAACATATATTTTGTATGCTTCTGCTTTTAAGATGCTTTTCCTTACCACGCTTTCTTGCGATATACAAATATTTACTGTCTAGTTTTTATTTCCCATGAAGTCACTATACATCTCTAGTTATTAAACTTCTTAAATGTTTAATTACAAGGGATGAAAACTCAGTCAAAAAAAATAAAATCACAATCAGCAATCTCTGAGGCTCTGCTAAGCTATTACTCTGATCAAGAAAAAAAGTGCACTTTAAAAGATATTCCAGTACAGCCAAAACTGCAGAACCTTTATGATGATCATTAACTCTAAAAGGAAAGCTCTGAGAAGAAAAATAACTCTGAATTTCGGTGTAACTAGACACAATTAAACATGGTGAATTTAGAAAAATTTGAATACTAGTAAAATGTTTTATTTCCAATTAATTAGATTTTGCTTACAAGCATGTTTTAACATTTTTAACAGTGTTTAACATCAGTATAGAATCATGTCCTGTAATCTGCTGATTCAGCACCCACAATTAATCAAGGACAAAAAAGTAAATTATTCATAAGCTAACGAAACAAATGTTAAAGAAAAATAAGCAGTTAGAAAGAGAGAAAAAAAAATATCCAAATAATCCAGTATAACATTTTTCACTATCTTACACACCATTTAGATTAAGGTTTCAATAGAAAAAATTTGGATACAATCAGTTCATACCTGTACATAAATAAATATTCATAATAATAATGTGCCGCATTTAATATATATGTAAGATAACAAATATGAAAGCAAACTTAACGAATTAAATTAAATTCACTATAACCTCTTTTATTTTCTATTTCATTTGCGAATGTCAACTACGCACTTCAGCTTTGCTATCTACTGTGCTAAGATGTAATTTTGCTGGCTGGCTTTCTATCTCAACAATATCAAAAATGTAAATCTTCTGTGGAAAGGCACGACTAGAGTGCCAAGTGATTGTGGCCACAAATATCAACTGCAAATAAAAATGGAATTAAAACTGCCTCAGCAGCCAAGTTCTTTAGATATTACCAAGTTAACATTATTAGCATACTACACAATCAAAATTCTTCTTCAATATGGATCTAAGCCCGCATCAACACTGCTCCGGTTTTTCCTTGTGCTTTTATTATATTAGTACATATACATACATTTTACAATAATAGCTTTTAAGCTAAACTAAATCAGATTTTAATCCTTACATATCTGTCAAATAATACACAACTACAATAAAATCATGCTAACTTAAAAACAAATATATATATAATGTAATAATCATTTAAAGAGAATTATAATTTAAAATGGAATTACCTGATGTCCTTCTAGTGAATGAAATGGTACTTTTGCACCTTTAACTTCATTATCACAGTTAGGAGACCATAAAAGAATTTTCTGAAAAACAGTTCCAACTGCTAAAATAATTGCATCAGCATTGCAATTAAATATGCTGCCTGTGTATCTGATATCAATATCAAAGAAAAAATATTAACCAGTAAAAGAAATTCTAAAATTCTATCAAAATAAAATTGCTCAAAGGATACAAAATGCAATTTTCTATGCATTGGACATTTTTTATTTGCTTTCTTTCCTTAATATTCCACACAGTAAAATTATTATGTGCAGAAATGATTGCTACTTGATCTTCAATAATGTCGTTTTCATTTAAAAAACAAGCATCATGTATCCAGTCATTTATGTATAGTTCTTCAGTAAATTCTATAAGACTGTAAAATAAATAAATAAATAAACTTTAGTAATTCCATAAACTTCAATAAATCCTACAAGAGATCCATACGAAAAATTTTTCTCTATACATCAGTAATATTTCACAAAGCTGAAAAACTTGCAATGAAAAACAAGAATTGCTTTTTGATCATTATTATGGGCAATTATCATATTTGCTCGAAAATAAGACTCTCAGATACAAGACATTATACTTTAGTAAATTTAATATATATATATATATATATATATAATGTTTTCAGTTATTCCAACACATCGTGGGTGAATGTGAGGCTATTTCATTTCACGTTTTGGCAGATGGCTGACGAAGCTGAGATGATTGCACCACGGAGAAAAATGACGACTCAGGACTTTTCACTTTTTACAGCATATCTTTATTTTATTTTAGAGCAGATGATTTTTTCCAGATGAAGTTACTCAAATAACTTATTCAGTAATTGAATTATTAGACACGACTGACTTTAATACGTTATAACGTTCTGACAACGAAAGAGGAGCATAGCGGAGGCATTAGCAGAACGAAGGCGAGAAGGTATCTGTGTAGGAGAACTTATGATGCAGCATTTATATGAAAGGTTATGTAACAGACTAGCTTCTAGGAAAATGTAGAAAAACTTATGATGCAGCATTTAAGTGAGGAGGTTATGTAATAGGCGCGAATGTTCTAGAAGGTACTGGTCTAGGGGAAGATCTGGAATTACAGAAAATTAATTAAAGGTTGCTGGTTCGCAAAGAGCGAAGCCATCGTATTTTTTTATATTTTACATCTTCCCTCCCGTCAAAAAGAGAGGCCGGGGTGAGAAAAGCATTAGTACAGGAGTTAAAGCAAAAGTATGAGAAAGACATGAAACAATCCAGGACATAGCGTACAAGCTTTAACTATGGCTATCAAGTTCATGACTTTCTCATACAAATTTTGACTTTAAGCATATGAAATTTTTGACATTAAACTATGAGTTATAAATAAATATACAATATATTACTAATTTTAAACTATAAGAGAAATATGGAATACTGATAAATAATAAGTTATAATTACAAAAGTCCTCAATTTTGTTTTTAAAAATGTCCATTTTGTTTTTTCCTTTTATAAAAGAGTTTGAATAGATGAAATATCTGGTAACTCTAAATGCCAGATAGTCCACAAATATGATGCATGTTGATAGTCACAAATATGCTTTTTTCCTCTCATCGTAAAGATTGACATGTTTTACACTTCATACAAAATATTATATTATTCAAAAATAATTCAATATAAATAATACAATTATACACTAGAAAATGAACACTTGACTTTAAAAACTATGGCATGTCCTCGCCAACAGATCAGGTGATTACTTGCTATGGTTGGGGGTGCTAGGTACAAATATCGAAAAAACCTCCATTGCCTAATACAAGGTAACTGGTTTTTGGCATTGTACATTACCTCAAAGTGCTTTTAGAAAAATAAAAGATCATATAAATCAAAATAAGAAGATAACTTGTATAATCAAGTTAAAGTCTTTTTATAATTTGTAAATTAGATATTATCCTACAATAAGAGAAAATTTTTGCTACAAAATAATTCAATTATGTGAAAAATTAAAAGGTCAAGATCGAGAGAATATTTGTCATAGTCGGGAAAATAACTTGTGATAATTAGGGTTTAAGTCTAAATCAGGTATGAAAAGTCATAATCAGGAAGATTTTTAATAGAGAATTTTGAAAAAATTAATTTTAATTTTGAACAGAAGTAGGAATTCTACTACTTTTGACAGTTAACTTAAACTCACTTGCTGGATTAAAAGGTCTTAATCTAGCTGAATGAACAATTTCTGATTTATTTTTAGTTAAAGGATTAGGTTTATCAATTTTATAAGTAACTTCAGAAGATTGTTTTAAAATTTTATAAAGTCCTGAGAATGGAGGAGATAATTTATGTTATAGGGTATTGAAATTTTTCATACATTACTAAATCAACCAATTTTAAAATTACCTAGGTTTAAAATGAATATCATATCTTTCTTTATTTACATTATGATATCATCAGATCTCTTTGAGCTATTTTTCTGGCTTCTTCTATTGACGGATACAATTCTTGATTTGAATTAAGGAATCATAAGGTAATTTTCATACATTAAATATGATGGAGGGAATTTTGTTACAGAATGAGGGGTATTATATATACTCTTCAGTTACTTGGGGTAATAATTTTGTCCGTGCTATATTACCTTGATAAGAATTTAGTTTACATTTTAATCTAGTTATAATAGTTTGATTAACACATTCAATTTTACCATTAGTTTGGGGTCTATTTGCAGTAGTTAGCAGTTGTTTAACATTATGATTCCTTAAAAAGTGCTTAAATTTGGAGATGTAAAAGCAGCATTCCTATCACTTAAAATCTTTTTAGGGACCTGAAATTGGAAAATTTGTTTTAATTTATATAAGTATCTGTAGCTACACTTTTAGAAGCAAAAGTCCAGATATATCTAGTTGCATGATCAATAATTATGTGAATATACTTTTTAGTAGAATTATAATAATTTAAACCACCTACAGTATCATAGATAATATTTCAAAAGGTTCACTAAATGATGGTAAATTTTGCATTAAACCAAATTTCTTTTGTTTACTTTTTATTAAACTGACATACTTCACAAGTTTATATAATTTCTAACATCTGAACAATTCCTGGACAATAATATTGGAGATAACAAATTTAGCATAGATGATACAGCAATATGACCAAATTGTAATGGGCCCTTTTCAAGTAATTTCGTATGTTAGGACATGGGTATCACAATTTTGTACAATCCCGTTTTTTTGATAGTTAAGAATCACATTCATTTTTCTATACTTAGTATTACAAACATTATCTAAATTTTGATATTCTTTATTTTCTTCTAATGATAATAAATTAACTTGCAATCTTAAATGCTGACACATAGGATTTCTAGAGAGCATGTCAGCTTCAACATTAGTAGATCCTTTTTATATTTTATATCAAAATCATACATAGATAATTTTAAAGACCACCTAAATAGACGACCTGTAGGTGGTTTTATTTTTAAGCCAAACTAAGCAGCATGATCAGTATGTACAGTAAAATGGTTACCATGTAATAATAATAAAATTCATCAATTGCATCAATAAAGATAAACATTCCAGCTCAGTAAATGACATAATTTTGTTAATATATCTTAGTTTTCTAGAATGAAAAGCAATTGGATGTAAACTACCATCAGGATGTTCTTGTTTTAAAACAGCACCAACAGCTTCTTTGGACACCATCAACAAATACTGACAGGGATTTAGGATTAACAAAGTTAATATAGGTCTAGAAATCAATGCATCTTTTAATTTTTGAAAAGCTTTTTGACATTCATCAGTCCATTATAAGGAGTATCTTTCTTAAGTAAATTTGTTAATGGGGCTCTAATTTTAGCATAAGTTTGAATAAATTTATGATAAATTAATACTTCCTAAAAATCTTTGTAATTCTTTGATATTTTTAGGGGACTGCAATTTCTTAATAACCTCTATATTGCATTATTGGGCTGGTATTTACCTGCTTGAATTTCAATCCTAGAAAATTTATTTTTTTTTAGCAAAATTACATTTAGATTGTTTTAATTTTATATTCTCTTTCTCACATATATCAAATACTATTTTAAGATGATTTAAATGTTCACCAAAATTTGGACAGAATACATAATATCATCAAATAATTTAAAGCAAATTGAATCTGATATTGTTAAAATTTGCCTAAGAGCTCGTTGGAAAACAGCTGGGGAATTTTTCCAACCAAAAGGTAATCTAGTAAACTCATAAAGTCCAAAATTGTAGTGAATGCCAATTTTTCAGTAACCTTTTCATTAATTTTATATGCCAATAGCCTGATGCCATATTCCAATGTAGAAAGATTTTGCATTTGTTAATTGATCAATACAGCATCAATTCTAGGAATAGGTTCAGAATCAGTTTTAGTAATTTGGTTAAGCTTTCTGAAATTAATACACAATCTGCTTCTGGACTGCTCATCTTGCTTATAAGTTACAGGAGGAGCATAAGGACTATAAGAAGGTTTAATAATTCCAGCTTTTAACAATTCATCTATTTGTTTTTTAATTTCACTATTATCTTTAGGAGATGCTCTATATGGTCTATAGGCTATTGGTAATTCAGAATTTAATATAACTCTGAGAGGTTCAACCCTTATACAACCAACATCATATTTACTTTTTGCCAAATATATGATTATAATCATTCAAAAATTTCGTAATTTACTATCAGAATTTTACTATTTTCAAAATAATTACCACAATTTTTAATACTAGATCATTTTTACATACAAAATTTTCGCTATTATCAAAATATTTACTAGATTGTTCAGCATTAATATAATTTTTACATACATAATTATTTTGGAAAAACTTGTCTACTTTAACATTTTACTTACCTGTTTTCCAAGCTGATAACTTCATAATTATGAAAATTCAATTGTAATTTAAATAATGAAACACATGGTGATGAAAGCAATATATAATTCAAATTTAAATCTAATACATAAAATATCACATTATTTTCTATTTTACCTACTTTACACTTACTTTGATTATTTTCTCTATGTGAACTTGACTAGATATTCAAAATTTTTTATCATGGGATTTCACTGAAATTCTCTAAATTTATCACCAAATTTTGTTAAAAATTTTTAACGGGTAAAATGTTAATTTGCGATCCCGTATCAATAATACTGGGAATTTTGTTCTGTCCAATTTGGACATTCACTTTAAAGTTAATATCATTTTTAACTTCTCTTTTAGGAACCGTGGTTATAATTAATAGCAGGTAATTGTGGATATCGAATTTGGCCGATACGCAGACTGTAGAGGTCGGTATTGCACTTGGTTGATAATTAAAAGGTCTCACACTACGAAAACTTTGACAAGGAGTGGCTTGCACTGGTCTGGGATAATAGCACCTCGGAACAGTCTGC